GTGGAGCTTTTCTGAGTTCTGTTATTTCCTCTTGCTTCCTTCCTTTTGGGTCCCCATGGCTCTTTTCTCTCTCAGTCCTGTTCACTCTGGATCAGTAAAGAATTTTTTTTAAACTGAAAAAAGTTACAAGTTGATGCTAATACATACCCCTCTTCCTGCTTGCCATCCTTGATAAAGCCTGTGTTAAAGTTAGTAAATCCAAGTTTTTAATACCCTCTTTGAAAGTGGTTTGCTTGAAATAGTAAGTATTATGGAGAGTATTATACCCTCAGTTGTCATCTGGTCTTGGAACCACAGAATCCTCTTATGGGATCGTTTGAGTTGCTTTCTTGTTGTGGATACACAAAACAACACTCACAACTTAAAAGAGAGGTCGTTTATTTGGCTTACAATTTCTGGTGGATTAGGTCCTCTAGCTGGCAGGGTGCAAAGTAGAAACTGCGTGGTGGAAGAGCTTGGCAGTAGAAAGCTGCTCAACCCACGGCATCCAGGAAGCAGAAGGAGAAGGGAAGATCCACTAACAAGAACACACCACTCCAGGTCACACCCTCACTGGCCTGTATTTTCAACCAGGCCCCCCCTCAGAACACATGAGATTTTGTGGTGGGACATTTTACATCCGGTCTGTAGCATTCCACCATTGGTTCCCAAAAGACTGTTGACCGTGTCAATATGAAAGATACATTTGATATTATCTCTAAGACTTGCCAAAGTCTTAACAATTCCAGCATTGCTGAGAAGCCCAAGTCCAAGTCTCCTCAGAGACTTGAGTTAAACCCTGAGCCCTGAGCCTCTGTAAAAATCAAAAGGAAAGTTAAATGGAAGTACTAAACAAAAAGGATGACTCTCTTTAGGATTAATTAATGTGCACATAGTTGTTTCAAAGCAACATTCTGACCTTATTTTTGAACTAGTGGTGAATTTAGCTATTTTAATGGTGTATGGATTTAGCTTTATTTTAATATTAAAGTATCAAAATTGAAACCTTGCCTGGAACTCAAAGATCTACAATGTCCAATATCTTATTCACAGTAAAACTCAGTGAATACTTGTTGACTTTTTTAAAAATTCAAATTCATTTTATTTTATCATCATGAAGTCACATAAAATCAATATCAAAAGTTTATTCTTGTACAGAATGGCTCTTGGTCACAATGAAGTATATAAGAAACTGAAAGCTTTTGAAGCTATTGCTAGAATTGAGTCTGTGTCTTGATGTAGTGATGCTGATCGGTATGTAGGTCATTGCTAAAAATGAATCTGTAGCTTGATTCACCTTTGTCAAGTTGTGATGTAGATATTCTCCTCTCATAAATTTATATTTCAGTGGGAATCTGTTAGCTATCTTTGCTGGACACCACAAATCTGATTATAGTACACATCAGTGTCATGTCTTTCACCTCTAAACTTGGAGGCCTTATCAAGAATTAAAGGTTATCCTGGATTTCTGACTCTTTCCAATCTAGTGGTCAGGACCAGCTGAAATTATGAATGGATTGTTATTGTCATTATTAAAATTTAGTGCTACACTGTAAGAAAAAGGAAGATTTCTAAAATCTTGCTATTTAGTACAGCTCTTTTTGCATTTAATTTCACTCATTTTTGGATAAGTAGTTTTCTGTGGTAAACTATGTAAAATAAATACTTCTAAAACATAAGCAATGATATTATTGTGTAAATATTTCTATATTTTATTCCAATATAGAAAATAATTATGACTAACATTTTTTAGAGTGACTTGGTTTTACATGATATGTACAGAGGAGTGTTTGAGTGTGCATGTGGAAAATGGTTAAGTTTTTATTATCAGTTCTAGAATGCTATCTGTGTAGGTCGAACGGGAAATGGAAGCTAGTAATTGGCACTGTGTTCCAACTGCTGAGCTCTTACTTTGCTTTTATTTGTTTTGTTTAAACTTTATTTCAATGTGAGATGAAGATTACATTTCTTTTATGAAGGTGAAAGAACTAGTATTTACCCAGCAAGGTTTAGATTAATATATAGTTCTAACATCTCTAAAGCCTATGTTCTTTCTGTCTCATCATTCTGCCTCCTAGTAATGTTGCCTTGAGTGCATTTCATTTCAGTTTTGAGAATCTTTGAATCATCTCACATTTTTAATGTAAGGATAATTAGGAAAGCAAGTCACAGTCTCCATACTGACACTAGCCGGTTAGTAGTCTCTTTGAACTCTTATATGCATTAGAATACCAGACATCAGATCCCTTCCAGCTTCAAAATCTCATACAGCTGTGAATCACATATGTAAAGCAATTAAAGTAATGTTTAGCACATAACTGGTGCTCATAAATTTTTATAAATTTGTCTTCCATCATCATAATTTCCCATTGTCATTTTTACCATTATTGACTTTAGATGATATTGCTCAGGACAGAGAGTCTAAGTCATTTGTCCAAGTTCACCCTGCTACTTAGGAGCAAAGCTAGGACAGGTTGCATTTCTTTTCATTCTCAATGCTGTATTACTATTCCTGCAATGGAACATACTCTCTTAAAAACAGAAGGAAAAAAAGAAAAAAAGCACATTCACTCCAGTAAAATACACTTTTAATATCTTAAAGGAAAGATTTCCAATCCTCTCTAATAAATTCCATGACAGCATGTGCTTTCCATGTTTTTTGAAGTTCATTTTACTGCAAATCCATGTATTTCAGATTTGCTTAAGTGCAGTTATAACAAAAATTTTTCTTTAGCATGTGAAAGATATTAATTCCTTGCTTAACTTACTATTTTTTCAGGTTCAATTAATTCTTAGATTTTTTTCTCTTAAAATTAATTTTTCTTTTTTTAACCATAGTAAATTTCCATCTAAGTTCTTTCTAAATTGTTATACAGTATTTTGAATCATTGAATATCTGATTAGAATCAGATATAATAGTAATCAAAGAATAATTAGTGTCTATAAATCCTGGGAGGTAGGTGACTGAACCAAACTATGATTAGCACTTAGCATTGTGCTGTTTTGAAATAAAAAAGGATGGAAAGGTTTTTACAATAAATTACTGATGGCACAGGTATATATACATACTCACGTGTATTATGATTCTGACATCATTAAAAATGTAACTATCCAAGATATGATAAAAATCAAGTAACATAAAATAGAAAGAAAAAATGGAGTTGATTAAGTCAGATGGAAATTGAATTTATTCTGTGTTTCCTGGAAACCGACAAAAAAGACAAGCACATTAAGTTATGCATTTTCTAAATTAAGGGTTAGAAAAATGAAGCAGAGAGCCTTCTTTTATTACTAAACTTTTTCCTCTTACTGAATTCAGCAGTAGAGAATCAGTGTAATATAGACACAAAGCCATAAATACTGCTGAAATGGGCATCTCATATCAGCCTAATGTAAAAACCAAATGTGTAGTAAGACTTCATGATTCAGGGAAGCCATGTCTGGAGGGAATGGAGATAACATGTTCCAGATACATTGCTTTCTGGTGATCTAACTGGATATTTATCCTGATAGTTATCTAGGGAACAAATAGTTAATGTCTGTTCAATATAAATTGTCTCAGAAGACTCTTTGGCCAGAATTCAGTAAGCTTGTGTTGAATGTTCCAACGAATGCAAAATCTGGCAGTATTTTATATTTTGATAGGGAAAGGACTATGTTCCTCAAATCCACATGTGCAGAAGGCATCACTAGGAAAGGGTTAGGACAGCCCCAGTTGCCAGCCAAACATAGAGGCCTCCCCAGTTTTGCTCATCTCTCTCCTTCCTACTCCTTTACCAAGTGAAAAAGAAAATATTTGACAGTGACAACAAAACATCCCTCAAAATGCAGGCCAGTATAATCAAATGATTAAGCTAGACTAAAAAGTTAGTGTACCTCCTGTGGAAAGTTTGGTTGTTAGAAATGCGACCTGTAGAATTCACTAGAATGAGTTAATCAAAGTATATTCTCAAGAAATTAAATGTTTTGCACTATTAAATGAACTTTTAGGTTTTTCCCTTTCTTCTCCTCCTCATCCTCCTCCTTCTTTTCTCTTTTTTCTTTTTCGTTTTGGAGGTGCTGAGGATAGAACCTGGGCCTTGCGCAGTGCAGCTCTTTACCACTGAGATATAGCCTGGCCCTCTCACTGTCCATGTTTGGGATAATTTGTTTGCTCTTATTCATAAAAAGAAACTGTTTAAGTCAGATAATACTGAGTCACTTTGTCTCATAACAGTTACTCAACAAATGCCATTTCTAATTAAATCTATTTGTGGTTTAAAAAAAACTGTAAACCAGGGTCTAACGAGGGTGCTCAGGGCCAGAGAGCCTAGCCTGAGGCCCTGGGTTCAATCTCTGGCAGCATTATTTAAAAAAAAAATCAAAACATCAGCATAGGGAAAGTTGATGGTCTTCTGTTTCCTACAAGTAAAAGATATGTATTTAGAAATATACAGTTCCACTTTGTGTGCATTTTAAAAGAGTCAGCATGGAAATTTATAGCAATTTACAACTGAAATTTCACGCATCTGTTATCTTGAAAACTACTCTAGTTTCTGTAGTGTAATAAAACTACAGCAACTTTGAGGATTTGTATATTCTCAATTCAATTTACATGGTCTGGATTATACTGTTGATTCACTTGTTAAATATTCTAGGAATATAATAACAAATTTCAATAGGTCCTTCTTAATATACTCAGTAAATGTACAAAAACCATACATGCATGTTCTGATAATACAACTTCATAGGTTATCCAAAATTAAATGCAGATAAGAAATCAGGACAAATTATAGTAGTTCAGTGGCTAAAAAAAGAAGAGGCATTCAAATATTTCTTAAAGGGAAAAATTTGTTGAAGTTGTCAAATTCATATTTTGAATAAATACCCTTTTGCCTCTCTGAATCAAAAAACACTGTAAATGAGTGAACTGAATAGATTCAAGCTAATGCAGAAAGAAAAAGAATAAAAAAGAGGTCAGAGCATGTGTGCTTTCTCCCTGTTTGTTGCCGTGCTTCTGAGGCCTTGCCTTCTTCTCTCAGAATGGACTCAACGCACTCCATCTGGCGGCCAAGGAAGGCCACGTGGGCCTGGTGCAGGAGCTGCTGGGAAGAGGCTCTGCCGTGGATTCTGCCACCAAGGTAACGTTCTTGCTGCTGCAAGTGATTTTCCCTAGAAAAGAAATTGACTGCAGGCTTCTTTTCTCAGTCATGCATTCCAGGGGTTAGCTGGACACCAAAATTCCTACCACACAGGACTAAAACTGGAACCCCTCCCCTAAACTTTTCAGAGTTTGAATTATTTTAAGAACTTATCAGACAGGAGACCGAGAAATCTGTAAACCTAGTTTGTTTGTTTTTTAAATTGAGTTTATTGGTACATTTTAGGGATACAGTACAGTTACATTCATTACTGGGATCCTGTACCTTTACATGATAGATCTTGGTTCTCATTTTTTCACCTTGTCCCTGCCCTCCCTTCACCCCCTCCTCCTGTAAACTTAGTTTTTAATACATTGTCTTTCTTCTTCTGATTCACAAAGAAGACTAGATTAACATATTCCTTTGTCGATAGCAGCAGCTAATTCCCTAAGGTCAAATCGTTTTTAATCAATAAATTGATGTGGTAACTTCTCATTGGGAATGAATAATTAATTTTCATGCTTCAGTTAAATTGATAAATCATTTTAATATATTCATTCTACTTAATATGAGAATATTTGGAATCTTTTATGCTCTAATGGAAAAGAGCTTTTTGGTAATTGAATTATTAGGTTAAGATTAGATATTATCACTATTAGGTGTGTTTGAAGGAATTTAAACTCATTTGTAAAGGAATACACAACACACTTGGTATAACTAGAAACTATTTCTCCCTTGTTGATGTTCTTTTGCTATAATGTATTTGAATTTGTTTGAGATTTTATAAACAACAGACCACCAATACATTGAGAAATCACCAGTACATTAGCTATAATACAGTAGCCAGTCAGTACCAAGTCTGCTGGTCAGGCTGCAGGGTCATAATATGTGAGAGAGGTAGAGTAAAGTTAGATACTCAAGCCTGTGGCTGGGGCATTAGTCTCACTTAGTAGACAAAAAGAGTTTGGGAATTGTTAGAAATACAGCCTGTTAACTTGGATTGCCAAAATGTACAATTGGTCTTGCTTTAAAGAGAAACTCTCATAGAAATTTAAAGATGAAGTCTAACAGACCACTCTCTGGAAAATTCCAAATAATTAAAATGTAAGTTCACTTTACGCTATAAATTCTTTGTTTAGCACATAAAGAGAGAGTAAATGTTTTAATTAATATTTCTCTTGAGCATATCAAATAAATGTTGAACTAGTATGTGTAAAATATTGATTTGAATGTAGATCAAATTCTTTGTCTCCTCTGAGTTGCCCACCTTAGCATAATATATTCATTAAGGCAACCACTTTTTGATTTCTTAAATGTTTATTATTGTTGTTGTTTTTCTTTTCCTTTAAAACCTAGAACTAGAACTTATGCCTTAGAAATTACATATTGGTTTACATTTCAATTTTTTGTTAATCACATCACAAATAGTTTTTAATGAAAATTTAAAATTTTTATTTTCAAAAAGGTTTAAATCATTTTTCATTGGTAATTGGTTGTGAATGGTAAATTTGATGCAGCAAATGGTAAAAATCATGATGTAGCAAATGGTAAGGCTATGACTGATATAAAATTTGTTTATTCATTCCCAAAATATTTTTAGCAGCAACCATATGGTTTTGTAGATGGAAGCACAACGCTGAGCAAAGACAGCTTGTCTGTCACTGAAAATTCCTGGATTTCTTTGCACAGTGAATTAAACTTGTGTTTCAGTACTTTTGTGACGTTAATATTCCTTTGCAGTAGGACTTCTGGTCCCTGTGACTTCCGTGCGATATTGTCACTTATGCACATCTGTGCATCATACCCCAACCTTTCGATTCATGAAGAACCCAGTCTTCCTAAGTTCTTAACACTAGACAAGAATAACGAAGATAATAAAAAGAAACACATTATATGAGATGACCATTTTTTTGATAGTTAAAAAAATTCCCTATTTGGTTAGCTGCTAGTTTCATAAAATGATATATTTGAATCAGTTAAAATATCAGAAGAGTTTAAAATGCCTGCACAGTTTGATTTGTACAAAATTTGAAAACCTCTAACATTTTTTGTTTTGTTTCCTCAAAGCAGAAAGGAAATACTGCCCTTCATATCGCATCCTTGGCTGGACAAGCAGAAGTGGTCAAAGTCCTTGTTAAGGAAGGAGCCAATATTAACGCACAGTCTCAGGTAGGAAGTACAGATTTTCTCCATGCATTTAAATTAGAACGAATTTTTAAAGTTGACTTAATAGGTGTAGTGAGCTGCTTAGAATATAAGTTTAATACAAATGCTTCTCTTACTTATTTTAACCAGATTATTTTATTAACTCGTGCAATTGAATTTACTTTTTGAGATACTATAGTCTTTTTTGGTATTCCTGAACAATTCACAAATGTAAGTCTGTCATCTTTAAGTATTTTTTAAAAAATTAAGTGATTTTTTTAGAATAACAGTGACATCTGTGAAATATGAATTACTCATGCAAGTTCTGTATTGCTCTATGAAAGTATTTTTTCCCCTTAAATTTAAAAAATTGCCAAAACATTAGCATTATAGAAGGGAAAGCTTCTATAAAGCAAAAATCTCACTATTTTGCACCCCACATGTAGACCAAAATGTAAGGCAAATAGGGAAATTCCACCCCGTGCCCCTATTATACACATAATAATAAATAGGAGATGAGAATACATGGTTTTGATGCAATTAAGAACAAATTTAAAAAACAATTATTTAATAAAAATTACACCATAAACTTGACTCCTATTTTTTCCCTAGTATGTAGGGGAAGAAAAATATTTTGCCCAAAGCTTTTCTCTTGGTATCAATAATGGATGTAAGAATTGAGTTCTACATCTTTCTACTAAAATATATTCCTTTCGTTTGCATGGAACCCTGGGTTCAATTCATAGTACCAAAACAGCAATAAAAACCATTTCTTCCAATTCTTCAGGTTTTCTCTTTAGCCTTTCATGTCACACGGGCTACAGCAGGCAGATATTGGAAAAATACGCTAGCTCCTTCCTGGTGTTCTTTGTGATACACTCATCTAATTGCTTTGTGATAAAATATCTATCACCCATCTTGTTCACATCTTCATTACATACATGTAGCTCTGATTGTGTAGAGGACCTAAGTTCCAGACCCAGAAATAGTAAAGGCAAAGGAAGAATCAGCCCAGTTTTCTTTCATTGGTTCATAGAGGAAAATCTGATGAAATTATGACAAGACATTATCCATTTTCACCTACTGTTTTAATTAGTCACATTTTCTTTTTACCACGCAAAACCTTTAGTTAAATACACACCAGTATGTTGATGTGATTTGAAAATATATCTTAGTGTAAACCTTTATTAACTAAAAATTTAAAATTTTTGGTGCTATTTATAAAGAACACTTGTATGTCTCAGGTATAACAGTTTATACTTTGTGGTAAAGGACTCTACAAAATTTATTGCTCCAGAGTAAGAAATAGAAACTTGTGTTTAGAGCCACAGCCCATCCTTTCACATTAGAGCAGAGGTTCCCAAACCTTTGCTGGCTTCACAGTCACCAGTAATGTGACTAAAGTGCACAAAGTGATGTGCACAAAACACATTTCCAGACCCACCCCAGAGCTTCAGAGGTGGAACCTAAGGATTTTTATTTTGTACAAGTTCTCAGATAATGCTGACCTTGGAGGCTGGGAACCACAGTTGGAGAATGACTGCTTTAGAAAACGCAAGAGAAAACTGTGTGTCAGATGTTGCAGTAAGTTCACTGAGCACAGCTTTAACTAAAGGGCTGAATCAATACTGCACTCCAAAGCATGGAAGTAAAAGCTAGCGAAGCTCAGTTTTTCATGAGTGGTTTCTCCTTTGACGAGAAATCCACGTGCACACTGGTGCCATTAATATCTGTTAAAGAGCAAGGTTCTCAAAATGAGAACTTGAACATGGTGATGCCACGAGCACTAACAGGTGGCAAAGTAAATGCAAATGTTAAAAGCTATGATATCAGTTATTACACAGCGACTTTAGAAAATTTATATGCATTACAGACTACTGAACGAGAATAAATTAACACTGTTTATCTTAGTTTTCTCCCAGAGTCAATGAGCCTTTTCTTTATGGTTGTAATCGCGCCGATTATAACAGATGTTAAAAGGTTTAAGTCTTCATTTAAATTAAAATAATCCTTGCTTGTACTATTTACTATTAACTCAATTTAAGATTTATGTTGTAGGCAATCTTGACAAATTACTTCAAGCTGATTCTTATATTGTGAGAAAGTGTTTGAGTTAGAAAAACTCATCAAATTTTAAAATGTTTTTGCAAATGCCTAAGTCATTTGAAAAGTCCTGTGATACTATTTGCTGTATTGAATTAAGGTAATTATTATTGGTTGACAAAATTATTATGACATGAAATGTTTTAAAATTCAATGATTGCAGTTAAAATAGTTCTATAAGTCGGTTTATTATTTTGCTATCATGTGTGAGTTATTTGCAGAATGTAGGTTTTAGGACCATTGAGGGCTGATATGAGTCTTTTCACCTGTTTGATTCCCCTCAGTCCTACCTATCTTATTTGGATACAGACTTTGTGATGAATATTCAGTATCCCATGGATGGGTGGGGATATGCGCATGGCATGTGGATAGTCACTTTCTTTTGAGAACTACAAGAAGAATGTAGCAATTTCAGGTGCACAGTATAAATTGTGAATGTTGTATTCAAATTATCCCTTCCTCTACATCTTTCTAAGGACAAAATTTGAGGACTGAAGTGTAGAATAATCTGAAATTATACTAATGATCATGGCTGCATAGTACTTTGCCTTGAGCAAACATCTAAGTCTCTTGGAAACGGGTCACTAAAGTTAGTAAGAAAGCAAAACCACATTGAGAATTTCAAAGGAGTAAGTATTCAGGAGAATTTTGGAATTATGTTATAGAAACACACATATTTATGGATTTCTGTTCATTCTCTGCATAAATTATGAGATACCTTTATATATGTTAAAGAAAAAAACTATTCAGTGAAAGTTGATAAAACACAGAAGGAAAGCTAATTCAGAAGCCCTGTGGCAGGTATGAGGGTCACTACAACAGAGTCCTGCATTGGAAGGAGAGGTTGTAGTGGACTTTGAATGAAGAATGAGAAAGTGAGAATTTGTGGCCAAGAAGCAGTACAGGGTTGGTGGGAGGAAAATCTCTAAGAGGAAAGACGAGAGCTAAGCCGATTCCGGCTAAACCAGCTACCTGGATTGGAGACATCTTAGAGAGGGTGACGAGACAGAACCTGGGGATGGTGGAAGAGGAGGAACCTGTTCAGGCACTGAGGAGGGCTCTCCTAAAATTGTATTTTATTAAGAAGTGCACAGATGGACTTAGGAGAAGGTGCAGAGCCTTGACTAAAATTTGGCCAGGCAAAGAATATTGATCCTTTGTCATATGACCAAGTGCCAATTTTGGGAGGCAGTGTCCTTAATTCATGAGCAACTCCGAACACCATCAGAATTGGTTTATATATTTTAATAAAACTATGTTTACTGAAGTTTCTGTGTTACACAGTATCAGCAGTGTGGTCTCTCCTGAGCTATTTGTCCGTGTGATTTCAAGAATTACTGACTGTGTAGCTCTCTGGCTTTGTTCTTTTTGTCTCTTGGAATCAGAGTGTGAAAATTTGAATTAAGACCTCAGGGAAACTTGTCTTGGTTGGGTCTCAGAGACAAGTGAGAGTGCATTGAAAATTTTTATTTGTTTTAAATAGTTGCTTACTTTCTAACAACAGAGGCACATTCATAAAACTTTTACTAGGCGTCTTTATATCCTGTGAACAATCGCACGTAAGTGATGCTGGAATGCTTTTCATCTGTCTGTAGAGGACATTTATTTGGTGACTTTTGTAACCTATAAAATTATTAGACTCAGGGATATGACTTAAAAAATTCCTTTAGCTGGGTGTGGTGGTGGCATATGCCCATGAACCCATACTTTGCAAAGCTGAGGCAGGACGATCACAGATTCCAGCCCTGAGTAGCAACACACCAAGACCTTTTCTCAAGATAAAAAAATTAAAAGTGGGCTGGGGATGTATCTTAGTGTGAATGCCCTGGGTTCAATCTCCAGCACCACAAAAACATTCCTATTCTGGGGCTAGGGATTTAGCTCAGTGGATCTGTCACCTGCCTTGCAAGCACAAGATCTCGAGTTCAATCCCCAGCAGTGAAAGAAAGGAAGGAAGGAAGAAAGAAAGAAAGAAAGAAAGAAAAAAAGTTAGTTCCTATTCTGTATTGTTATCAAAGAAATTATATTTTGGAAAAAAAATCATAAAATATTCTCAGTTATGAGTTATGGTGATTTTTGTTTACTCTTTGCCTATTGGTACTTGGTTATCTCTGGATTTTTTTTTGGGGGGGGTACCGGGGATCAAACTCAGGTCCTTACACTTGCGAGGCAGGTGGTAGAATAGCTGAGCTAAATCCCCAGCCCTTGGTTATTTCTATTCTTAAATTCATGAAAGACAAAAGAAATGTTTAAGACTTTACAAGTGCTGTGATACTTTTGATATTGCCTGAGGAGTCAGAATAGTGAAATGGATAAGAGTCCGGAATCTGAAGCAAGGCGGTCAAAACCAGAGTTCAAATCTGAACTCTTTTACTTTCTACTGTGCCTCAGTGTCTTCGTTTATGAGGAGGGTTTTAATCTCCTGTGAGGACTTGTGAGATTAATCCATACAGCACTCAGAAGAATGCCTGGTAATTGGAAGAGCTAAATATCAACCATCCTCCCCAAATTTAGCGATAGAGCATGTATACAAGATCAGCCACCTGTGTGCCATGGCTACCTGCTCTTAGCAGAGTGAAGAACAGATCACAGTCAGTTTGAGCAAATGGCTTGCTTCACAGACTCCTTAGAACACTGTTAATATGAGTATGGAAAATTTCACGAGTTTAAATACAGGTACTTATAATTCTTTAAGCAATTTAACAGCCAGGACACTTAGAATATATATATTCATCTCCTTGAGATACTTACATCTTCATCTAATGGACAGATGAGGATTTTCATCTTGGTTCTGAAAAGAGAAAACTAATTTACAAAAAATGGTTTAACCAAATATTATTTTTGAAAAATCACTCTGAGGAAAATTCCAAAGAAGAAAATTCTAAGTAGAATATCACAAATCTAAAGTATATTGTATTTAT